AGTAGGCCTTGTTTTACCCCAAGCACGTGTCTTCAAAGCAGGCACGTGTGAGTCAGTATCTAAGTATCCTAAGGAGAGATATCCATGAGTTCATGGCAAACACTTCATATCAGACATTGGCTGAGCTGCAGACCAATGCTAGGAGGCGGGAGATTGAGCTGGAGACACGGGCAAGAGACGAGGGGGAGACTCAGGGGTGAATATGAGGCTAGTGTAGTCGCAGCCGGCGGCGAAGTGGTTCAAACCCGTTGACTCGAGAGCTGGAAGCCAGAAGGGACACACTTGCAGCAAGTGCGGCAAGGGAATGAGTGACCATGCCGATCAAGGACCATCTGCTATATGTGTGGCAAGGAGGGGCATATGGAAAAGGATTTCCCCAAGGGATTTCGGGTTTGCTTCAATTACAACCAAACAGGTCATTTGAGGTCCAAGTGTCATAAGCTTGCATCGAGGACAATCTGGGCTCCTGCTCCTATTACCTTGCGTATTACTGATGGCCGGCATGGGAAGGCCGAGGCCCTGAGGGCTCGAGGGAGAGCATTTTAGCTGACGTCAGAGGAGGCCCGTTCAGCACTGGACTTCGTCGCTGGTAATAGTTTCTTTATTATTATTTATGTTGATTTTTTTTATGTTTTCTTATGATATTGCTCATGTTAGGTACTTTCCTTGTGAATTTTGTACCTGCTCTAGTGTTATTCGACTAGGATGCGAGTCGATCTTTTGTATCATCATCATTTTGCCATGATTTTAGCATTGCATATGAGGCCTTGATTAGACCATTGAGGATTTCTATAGTGGATGAGCATGCGGTCTCCGCTACTAACATTTATCAGGGCTGTGTATTGGATATTTTTGGTGTTGGGTATATGATAAACCTTATCCCTATTATGATGGGAGATGTCTGTGTTATCGTGGGTATGGATTGGTTGAGTCTGTTTGGGGCTCTAATTGACTGTGAGCAACAATTGGTGATAATTCTAGATCCTAGTGGGGGAGTGCTTACCATTTACGGTGATGGTACCAAATTAGGATCGACTTTCTGCTCTGCCGCCAGGGGGAGGCAGTGTTTGCAACATGGGTGTATGGGTTATCTGGCATATGTGGTGGATACCCGAATTCACAAGAATAGATCGATTTTCATCTCTGATGTTCATGTTGTGTATAATTCCCCCGGTGTTTTTCCGGAGGAGATGCCCGGTGTGCCTCCCAAGAGGCGGGTGGAGTTTCGGATCGACCTGATCCCTTGTGGGACGTCGAGTGCTAAGGCACTGTATTACCTTGCGCCAACCGAAATGTAGGAGTTATCCTCTTAGCTTCAGAAACTGTTAGGAATGGAGTTTATTTAGCCGATTAGTTCACCGTGGGGAGCACTGATCCTGTTTGTCAAGAAGAAGGACGGTCCACATTGGATGTGTATTGATTATCTAGAATTGAACAAGCTAACGGTGAAGAACTGTTATCTGTTGCCAATGATTGATGATCTTCTCGACCAGTTATAGGGGGCGTCTTGGTTTTCCAAGATTGATCTGAGGTCTAGTTACCATAAGCTGGAGGTACAAGAGGAGGATATTCAGAAGACGATCTTCCAAACTTGTTATGAGCATTACGAGTTTGTGGTGATGTATTTTGGGCTCACCAATGCACCGATAACGTTCATGGATCTCATGAACCGGGTGTGTAGGCCCATGTTGGACCAGTTAGTGATTGTCTTCATTGATGACATCTTGATCTATTCAAAGACTAAAGAGCAGCACGAGGAGCATTTGTGAGAGATTCTTAGGGTTTTAACAATGGAGAGGCTATATGCCAAGTTCTCCAAGTGTGAGTTCTGGTTGTGCGAGGTTCAGTTTCTGGGACACCTTGTCAATCAGAATGATATCTTAGCTGAAATATACTAGAAATCCTTCATTGTTGGTCTTCAGAAAGCAAGCACCAGAAGTCTCGTGCCTCTAATGGCTCATACCTAAACCCCTAAAAAAATGGAGGCTAAAGAGGAGAGAAGAGGAGGAGGAAGGGAATTTTCGAAATTCTATTTGGAATGAGGTGAATTTCGAAATTCATAACCTAAGGGGGTTTATATAGGTGATTGGGAGGCTAAGGATAAGACATATTTCCTTTTAGATAACCATTTCCCATCGCTTCCTCTCTAAGGCATTCTAAGCTTCCTTAGAGCCCAATAATACCTCTAGAAACTCTTTAAAAACCCTCTAGAATCATCCTCCCTATGGGAGGTTCTAGAATTGGTCAATGCTCAACTTTTTAACATTGTCACCTTTAGTCTTTCCACTTTTAATTAATCCAATTAATCCCAAAGTTAATTCTAATTAATTTCGGATTAATTTTTAATTAAATAATACTATTTATAATTAATATATTATTCTCATAATATATTAATAAATTATTTGTTTTGATTTCTAATTAAATTATTAATTATATAATAAATTAATAAATCAGTCTCTCTCTCTCTAAATAACATTTCAATCCATTACTATATTTGAGGGCAATCCAAAAAAATTTTGCTAAAAATTCAAGATTATACTAATTTAGTTATTGGCCTAGACACCTAATCCAACACTGTACACACGCACATCAAAGGTTTTATGATTCGAGATTCCACATTGTTTTCCTTATTACTCTGATTTTGAATTATGGTTTATGAACAGATGGGTTGACTTTAATGTAACTTTAACATGGGATTTTAGTGTAGCCACAGGACTACTAGAGCCGCTTCAAATTCATTATTACCAATAATTAAGCATTACAAAGTCTTCTATAGATGTACTAGAAGCATGCAATAAACATCAAACACTTGGAACAAATGATATCAGTGTTTGGAATCAAATAAGCAAGGAATCAAATAAGCAAAGACAAAGAAGAATATCACAAAAACATGGGTTGCATTCCAGCAGCAAACAGAAGCATCAGAGACAAAACTAGAAACACCAACCGGACGATTTGAAGTTCTCGATGTTAGGAAGTGGCTGTCTAAAAATCAAAGAATACAGGCTATTAGATCTCAGGGGAATTACCAATCAACAGACGTGTATAAACAGTACAAAAAGTATAAAAGATACAAGATAAAAAAAAAGTTAAATAAGAGAAAAGAAAAGAAAAAAAAAGGTGACCTTTAATAATTTTTTTTTTTTTGCCATTTCTTACAATTAACAATTGTATCTATAGTGTAAAACTAATCCTACAAATAGTTTGAACCATTTGCTGTCGATGTTTTTTCATACTTCCCATTACTTCTGTAAGTTTTTTAGTTCCGTTTATTTTCCTTTCAAGAATGATATTACTAACCTTTAAAAGTTATTTTAATTTATTGGTTTCTTATTACGAAACTTTTTGTATAGTGGCTTAAAAGAAGGTGCCGTAACTTGTATTTTGTGTTGATCAATTCCTGTTTACAAAATAGGGAAATCTTCAGAAAAGTCCCAAAATTTTAGTCTAATTTATGAAAAAGTCCCAAAATAAATTTTATTTACAGAAAAGCACAAAATACCGGTTAAAACTTCGAAAAAACCCTTTTCGGCCGGTTTCGCAGATTTTGCCGGTATTTTGTCATTTTTCGTTAGTTTGCTCAAAATTTTGGGACTTTTCCAAAAATTACATAATAACCAAAATATTTGGACTTTTTTGAAAATTACCATGAAATTAATGGATATTATTATTAACAAATCTTTTATAAATTACATAATAACTAAAATATTGGTGGCCTAAGTACTCCTCTATTGTTTCCTGACCACTCAAACTCTCTATGTTCTTCCTATGCATTGTTGTGCGTATGATGGTGAGATGAAGTTAGTTAGCATTCCTCTAATGTTGGTGTTCTTCTTATGTTGTTTAACCTAACTACCAACCAACATTCATACCTTACATGTTAACAATCATCGGCTAACACACATCTATAAAATGTGAAAAGTGAACCCTGAATGATAATTTATATGGAAACAAGTGAAGGGTGATTATCTATTTAAATTGTCATTCAAAGTTTACTTTTCACTCTCGATAGATATGTGTAATTTTATGGTTGTTACCGGGTAATGTTTGGAGGTTAGGTGGTAGTTAGGTTAAAGAACATAATGAAAGATCTATATGTTCGTGTAATGATATCCTTCTAATAACACATGATCATATAGCATCATGCTTAATAGCAAGTAGAAACTTATTGATTGTGTATTAATAAATATTATCAACTCTTGTATTGGTCACGCCTAATAGATTACTTCTCACTATGACACCCACAACGATACATATGAAGAACATAAAGACTTTGAAGTGGTCAACAAACAATTGAGAAGTACATAGTCGACCATTCTATTTCTAGAAATTAACAACAAATGTATTTCCTTTGTTTATAATTTAAAAAATATTTTTTATGTTTATAAATGATTTGTTAATAATAATATCCATTAATTCCATAGTAATTTTCAAAAAAGTCCCAATATTTTGGTTATCGGGTAATTTTCAGAAAAGTCCTAATATTTTGAGCAAACTAACGAAAAAGGACAGAATACCGGCTAAATCTACGAAACCGGCCAAAAAGGGTTTTTTCGAAGTTTTAGCCGGTATTCTGTGCTTTTCTGTAAACAAAAATTAGTTTGGGACTTTTTCATAAATTGGACTAAAATTTTAGGACTTTTCTGGAGATTTCCCTACAAAATATGTATAATTTATTGATTTTAAAATGTTTTGTGAATAAGAGTTTCATTAGAGGGTAATTTAAATAACTTTATCCATGTATAATTTATCTTTAAGTTGTATTTACAATACAAACAAGAATTTACAAACCCATTTGTAATTATACCAGCAGATTAAATTATACATCATTTCATTTTCTGATGACCAAAATTTTGATGAATTTGAGTTCATTTGTATTCCTATTCGAATAATGGTATTAACTAGGAAAATCGTCATAATTTTTCTACATCAAAAATGTCATTTTATATGTACTGTTATTTTTACAAAAATAAATAATCAAAAAGTTTGAAATCAAAATTGACTTTCTCAAACTCATGGAATTTTCCTGTAAATTTTGTGTTTGGATATTTCTTTTTAATGTTAGTACCTATGAAGTTATACAAACATCATAATTTTAGGAAAAACAAAGCATCTAAACTGTAAGTTTCTCTTAATATTATCAAAGTAATTCCTTTCTAAATGTTCGCCTATGTGTATCTATCTCCTCTTGTATGTTGATTCATGTCTTTCTTTTCTTCTTTTTTTCCACTTTTATAATATGAAATATAAAAGGCTTCTCCAAATATATTGATTTCCCAATATATTAAACCACCTTTTAATGCCATTTTGTCTTCTCTTGACTTGGGACAGTTTCTTCTTTTGCTGATATAAATGGTAAACCCCTGCAGATAATCAAAAAAACAAAATTAAACAAAATCCTTTGTGTTAAAGTAAACACTTCATTTTACTCATTATTCAGATTCTTGATATTTATAACATTTGTTCTTTTTCCTTTTTTACAGATTTAAAGTACAATGCTTATCTGGTAAATTATTCAAAGTATAAAAAAAAAAAAAAAAAAAAAGTAATAATTAAGACCACCCTTAGCGACCCTACCAATATGAGAGAGGTAAATCACAGTGTCCGCAACCTCAGACCTCACTTATGGATTCTCATCTCCTTACTGAAAGTGACATAGACAATCATGTGTGGACCCCAACACATCTTTAATGTCAAAAATAAAGTCAAATATACATTATGTGTCAGAATTATAGACGGGGTCAATTTCGTAAATTTCATTGTTAAGTGTTAACCATGTTGATCACAAACGAGTTCACATAACAACACAAAATTCATACACAATCACAAATTCAATCATATATCAAGAACAAGTCTTATACGCGCTCAATCAATCTACTATAATATATACATAATATTTGCATAAATTCATCATTACATATTTACAAAAATAACCAGTTTAATTGGCTTAAAAGAAAAAGTACATGATGCCACAAACTTATTTCAAGAAAACATAACAAATTATCAAACCACCTATCATTTTATACAAACTAAGCATATCCCCTAACATTAAAAGGAGGTGAGAATCCATAAAAAAGGTCTCAGTTTCAAACATGGGTTTCACCTTGTCTTGCTCTGGGGATATTGTGATTTAGGTGGGACCCATTGGTGGGTGGAATTTACTATTTTACCCCATATTATACAAACTAACTTAAGCTTTTATATATGTATTTCGACTAAATTTTACTTCCAACAAAATATGGTTGGGATACCTACAGATCAAAACTGTGGCTGTTGAAATGGAAGACTGGATTATTGCTCCTCCTTCCAAAATTCTTACACCTGCACTCTTTAGCAACACTTGAGCGTAGAGACGTGGGCCCACATACAATCACCCCAATATCTACATTTCCCCATCGCTCACACATCCTCCCAAAAATTTCTGTATAAATCAATAATACAAAAATCAACAAAAGTAGATATAAATTAGTTTGTGTTTGTTACACTGGACAAGACAAGACTGGACAAATTTTCTAGTGTTTTTTTTTCAATTATAAGGATTACAAGGGCATTTACGTCTTTTTGCACAAACAAGAGATCAAGAACAAGTCCTTGTCCCACATTTTTCAGTACTTTACTGTTCTGTTCTATCCTGTCCTGTCCTGTCTTATCATGTACTGTTCTGTGTAACAATCAAGGCCTAGATGGTATAGACATACCTTTTAAATCAGGTCTTTGACCATATTTTGTGGTTTTGACAAAACTTTCTTCTGATGAATGCTTGCATGAAGTAGTAGACTTCTTGTGTTGTATTTCATCGGTTTGATTTTTGTCCCAAGATTTTTCTTTTTTTGAGGTTTTTGTATCCGAAAGATGCCATAGACAAATCACAAGGCCTCCAAATACAATCACACTTATAATCATGCATATCAATACTAGAAGCCCTTTATACCAACGATATGTTACATCATAAGTGTTGATGTAAAACACATTTAACAAAGTCAAAGAAACCACCAAACCAATTGTGGACACCACCACATAAGTTCCAGACCAAATGATGTTTCCTGTTCCAACCAATCCAGACATGCCACATCGGCTAGGGGTAGAATAGACAAAAGGGGTTGCATACTTCTCTTCATTTCCCTCTTCCTGTAGACAATAAATTTATATAACTTGAAACTTAATTTTTCCTTTTTCTTTGATAAATGAAAGTACATTGCTATTAATGGAAAGTTTTGTACCAATGGGGGTTCGGATTCCTGAGTAATGTAAGTTTGAATCTCCAAATTCAGTTTTGTGTGGAAGTTTGGAAAGAGTGATTCCAAGTCTAGTGAGTGAAGGAGTGGAAGTTCTTCTGATGTTTTAACAGCCCATATTATCAATACATTTCTAGGCATACAAGGTTTACACTCTTTAATACGGTGTAGAATATCACTCAAGATAGCCACAAATGGTGAAATCCCAATCCCACCCGCTACTAAAATAAGGTTTTCATACCTAAAAAGAAATGGTAAACAAGAAATTAAGTAAAATGGTATAGGAATAAATGAGTCAAAAGTGAGTGGAGTGTGTACATCAAGTGGTATGGAGACTCGTGTCCATAAGGCCCCTCTACATATGCCTTAAGCTTCAAATTTGGTTGAATGAGTCCATGTAGATCCGTTTGATCTTCAGGAAGACTCAAGATATGAGATTTTAGTTTGTTTGTCCAATTTCCAAGGACTTTTATGAGAATAGAAAGATGATTGTCTCCATCTAGAGGACTAGATGAGACACTGAAAGGGTGCCATTGTAGCCATGATAATTCCCGAACTTGGAGGAAAACCCAACTCAAGGCATTGTACTTTAAATCTACATTTTCAAAAAAAAAAAAAAAAAAAGGTTTTATGTAAATATTAACTACATATTTATTATGTTATATTGGATTAGGACAGATGTCAATAGGACAAAAATTGCAATTTTTTTGTTCGCACCTAAAAAGGTGGAACAAGATGGGATAGGGAGTCACTCTAGATCTCTTGTCTATGCAAAAGACGTTAATGCCCTTCTCATCCTCATCATCAAAAATAGCTCTAGAAAACTCGTCCAGTGTCCCATCCCATCTAGTCCTATCCAGTGTAACAAACGCAGTGCGTTTGTTACATGGGACAGGATGGGACAAGACTGGACAAGATTTCTAGGGCTATTTTTGATGATGAGGATGAAAAGGGCATTTACATCTTTTGCACAGACAAGAGATTGAGAGTGACTCCCTTTCCCATCTTGTTCCACCTTTTTGGGTGCGAACAAAAAAGTTGCAATTTTTGTCTCACTGACATCAATCAAAATCCAGTCCAAACACAGTACAACCTGTTATGTCATAAGTCATCAGATAAACTATTAATACCTTGAGGTTTTGATATAACAAGTTCCACAGTGCCAGATGGAAGACATTTAGCTGAGAGTATTTCAACACTCTTTCTTGATTGAAAGAATCTAAGAAATCGATCAAGCATATACAGGAACAACCCTCCAGCTATCATACTAAACAAGATATCACCAACATGCATAGCCATGAACACAACAAACACAACATATAGCTGATGAGTGTAGAAGAATAGTTCAAATTTCAGCCTCCTCACTTGAGGAAGTGACGTCACCCACATCAACAAACCAGCCGATAGGCTGATGACACCTGGCAGATTTGCAATCTTGTTATTCTTCCAATCAATTACCTACACAACAAAGTAGAAACCACAATTTCAATTTCAGCATATGGGTGTTGTGTTTCTTTTTGACTCAATGTAGAAAGAAGAACTACTCACTTGATGTAGCACACGATTTTCCAAGATCCATGAGATGAAATAACAAGAACCATGAAGAGTGAAGAGTGTCATTGTAAGATGTCCTAACCATACATGATATCGAGTTGCATGCTCAAAAGGGATATTTGTAAGCCTTAAAAGAATTGATCCTCTTGAAACAGGTAAAAACATAAACATTAAGCAAATCAATCCAATAGACCCGAACCTTAATCCAGTGTGCTTCAGCATTACATGGCTGCAATATTTAATTTTAAAATACATCATTCATAAAGAACGACTTAATAAAGAAAGAAAATAAAGAAATTACCTTTTTCCTTGACTCTCATAGTAGGGAATCAGGTTGTAGTTTTGAATAGCATAAACTGAAAGCGCACAAATGATATACACAACAACTAAAAGAATTACAATCAACTCTGCAGCTGTAACAACTCCAAATGGTCCATCTACAATAACTGGGAATGTCCACAAGCGTAAAGTTGCGTGTTTTGGTTTCTTTTTCCTACATAGAAGTGTTCTTATTAAGTTAAAAACTTATATATCTGAATGAATTAAGTCATTAGTCATGTCCTATTAAGTTAGAAAAGATATAGAAACAGGTTCTTAGAAGTTAGAACTAGTAACTTACTCTTCAAACTCTTGTTCACCAGATATCCGAAGGTAAAGTATAGCAAGAAATGCAATGATGAATAGTGGACCTCCATAAAGAAATATACTTCCTGTAGATCATACACAACAGCTTATGTAATTACTAATTAACCAAAATAGAATCAATTTCATTAAGTGAGAATTGAGAAGATTACGAACCTGAAACCCAAAAAACCGATCCGGAAGTAGAGTCGACATATTTCTCAGCGAAGTCGCTCACGGAATTTGATGGAAGTAAGAATAAGAAAGTAATCCAAGCAAAGAAAATTGAACACATTGCGAACTTGAGAACCCATCTGGTGAATTTGACCAAAAAACGTGTCTGGATGACGTAATTGAAGCCATTATCTTGTTTGCTTGAAGAAAGAAGAGGTTCATCGGTGGCGTATTCTGTACTCATTTCTTTGAGACAATTAAGCAAACAGATTATCTGCAATGATCGATGAAGAGTTGATGACTTTTTCTTTATCTGTTTGCTTATCACCTTGAGTATGGTTGTAGACAACAAGACCAATCTACATCTAACTCGGTGATTCTGGAGCTTAATATATGACAATTTGGGTAGTTGGTAATTAGAAAATTGAAGAGGAGAAGGAGATTGGCCAATTTGGACCAAGATTTCGACATTTATTTATTTATTTATTCTCTAATCTCTTCCTTCAATGGTTGATGGAGTCATGGAGGCAATGCCTAACATTCCCCATAGGCCCATACCATGACTTAGACTAGGCGATGTGTTATTTTTTATTAAAATTAGTTTATATACGGATAAATTATTAAAAAATACAATATTTTAACCATTTTACTAATTTAATAACTTGACTTACTTCTATAATACTTTTATATGTCCTTTTTAATTTATAAAAAAAAATCTATCTATGTCACTTTGTCTGATTTAATAGATAAACATGTAATAATGTAATAAGTTGAACATTTTTTAAGAATAAAGAAAAGTATTAGTTATTTTTTATCATCATATTGCTCAAATCACATAATTTTTTAAATGGTAATTTTTTTTTCATTGTAAATAGCTAATGTTATATGCATGTGAACGTTTAGCATAACTATTTATGAATGTAAAATTATTTATTTTCACATCGAAAGATTTATAGTCTAACGATATCATATTTTGTTCTTTTTTAAGGTTGATGGTTTAGGTTTTGTCTGGATTTTTAAGATTAATTTATATTTATTGTTTAAAAAAATCCTATTTTCATAACTATATTAACTTCTATAAATAATTATGTATTGTAATTAAAGCCTAACAAATAGTTGGATGAAGCTAAAACATATTTTGTATTTTAATCTATGTGACCTTCATATATATGTTCACAAAATGTATATTATTTAATCGGATTAGCTTATTGGTTTTTGGTTTTTTGAAAAATTAAGAAGGCAAAAAATATTTGGCAACATGTAGATGACTTTTAAAATAACTTCTCATCAACCTTTTAAAAATGTGAGATTTCAATAAGTTAAGATTTTAACTTTTCAAAAAAAAAAATTATAACTTTTTAGGTTATAAAAACCCTTTAAAAATAAAAGAAATAAATAAAAAAAAAAACTTATTGCTTATGGACGCTTCTTACCACAAAAGTTAATCCAACCAATAAGTCTTTCTTTTTACCTAAAAAAATTAAAATGGTTAAAATCAAATCTCAAATTATATAATCTCTTTTTTATACTATTCCTTATTTAAAGCTAAAAGATTCACAACAATGATAAAGTATTGACCTAAATATCTCCATATGACAATCGTTAGATGTTTTTTTTTAATAAATTGGTTTATGCTGTTAGGTAAAAACCTTTTCTTAAAAGTGTAACTATTTAAATATTTAATTAGGTCCAGTCAGAAGGTTTAGGGGCCACATCGATTTTGACACGTGACTTTCATAGTTTTGGCATCCACAAATTGTTGCTTCCTACCACGAAACTTGCTCAGATGCATGCCTAACACGCACGATTCGTAGTTGGACACGCTCTTCCATTTGCATGTCCTATGAGTCGCATCGATCAGACATCACATGTGCTGTTTTGCTCAATTTATGGTGATGAATGGATGCCCATATTTTAACTTTTATGTTAAAAACAATTTTGGGATGTGATATTTCATCTATGTTTTTTTGTTTTTTCATTTATTTAAAAAATATTTAATTTTTATATTTTCGAAAGGAACTAAACTAACGTATAATAAAAATAACTTTTTCAAAATTTGCAAATAACCAACTGTGATATCTCCAATTTCACGGTCAAAAAATACCGATTTAGTTTATGCTTCTATAATAAAATCAAAGTGATCATTTGGTTAAAAGTGTTGCGGAATTTATTCCCAAAATAAAAATATGATAAAGATTTATCAAAGCATTTCCGTACAAATGTATTTCATTAAAAAGACTCAGGATGTCATATTCAATACATATCAAAAGCATAAATAATACATTATAAGCCTTACAACAGTTATTTACAACTATTGGCTTATAATCCAAAAATCTCTCATCATCATCCAAATTATGCTCTAGGTCCACTACCTGTAAAACAGAAAGCTGAGTGGGTCAGGCTTGGGAGTATAGTGAGCATATAAGGTTTTCGACCCACAAATAATAATAAATTTATTAATTTCATCGACTAACAATAAATTTATTAATTTCATCAACCAACAATAACTCTGATTACCCATTCATGTTATCCTCACTTTACGACCCTAAACACCTATACAAAGGACCTAGTCTAAGGATTTTATCATCGGGATGGACTTTACTGCTAAGAAGATTCCTCAGCCATATATGTCCGTAAGGCAACCATGAGGGGGATGGAGTACACCAGTGAACATCAAGCCCACAAACGCCTACAGGTTGCGAACCTGTCAGTGTTCCACTAGACTGTCTAGAAGAGTCTGTGGTAGTCATCCATACTCCGCTAGATGATCGGAACACCAACAACATCAAGGTCTCTCATCATTTTATCACACACCAACTATTTCATCTACCTGTGTTATACCCAACATATTTGTAGATAAAAATATATATACATTTTAAAACTTGTATAAAACATTCATTCAACATCCATCTCAAGTAAACAAACAATATATATACACATAGCATGTATTTTATAGAAAATACTTCATATTTATGTGTAAGATGAAAGTGACTATACACTCATTTGATTTAATGATAATCGGATAGCAATTTGTTTCTTAAAATGATGGTTCCTGATAAAACCGGGGGTTTTAATGAAAAACCGGCTCTGCGAGGTTGGAGCTTCAAAACCGAAAAGATAAATTTTTCCGGGTCTTCGGGCACTTCGGGACGTGTTTCGGGTGTTGAAAATGATACCGGGGCTTTGGGGGAAGTTGAAATGATAAAAATATTGATAAAGGGGTGACAAATTGTAATTTTCTAATTCTAGCCAGAAGATCTCGCAACCCCCCTATTTATAGGGTGCGAGACCGAGGATTAGTGGCTAAGAAGGCTCCACGTAGCACCTGCGAGGCTCAGATCCGGAGGGGAGACGTGGCTCGGTTCGCAGGTTGACACGGAGAAGGCACGCGTCGGACTACAGGTTGCACACGCATGCGAGCTCGGAAGATGCCACCGATGCGAGGCGCGTCGGTCTCCTATTGGACCTCGGCTTCGAGCGAATCAGCGGCTGACACGAGGTGGACACAGGTCATCTCGCATGCGAGGTGACATGGTCGGATCTGCACCATGCGAATTTTCCCGATTCTCAAGGATTTTCTCGATTTTTGTGTCCCAACTTCTAAAATCCATAACTTTCACATACGGGCTCCGTTTTCGACGTTCTTTATATGAACGCTTAGCTGAAATTATTCTCTACAACTTTTATTCAGACTCTGTCGGCTAATTTTGACTTTATTTTTGATATTATTATTTTTAACAGACCGGGACAGGAAAATCCGTTAAAAATCCATAACTTCTTCATCCGACGTCCGTTTTCGTCAGTCTTTTTATCGTTGTACTACTATTGATGAGACCTTCGGTTCTCGTTTAGGTTGTGTCGGATAAAAATCACTCGATCTAAAATTCGAGTTTTTAGCTGTCTACTCTAAGCTGGAATTTAGAAAAATTATAACTTCCTCTTATGAAATCAGATTTAGGCATTCTTTTTATACACGCTCTCGGTTTAATGAATGCTACGAATTTAGTTTAGATTGCTAAGGCTAAAAATCACTTTATCGTAAATTCACTTTTTACGCTTCCCGGTGTCGTGTCGGTTCCGTCATAAAACTTCGACAAATCATAACTTCTTTGTTATAACTCGGATTTTGGTATTCTTTATATCTCCGGAATCCTTGTTTCTGCCACTACAACTTTCTTAAAAGATATCGGCTTTATTTAATATTTATTTTCAACACTTATTTTTGTTATTAATTAATTAAGTCATAATAATTAAGCAAATAAGCACATAATTCCTCTTTATTACTTCAAAATGAGTTACAAAGGTTGACCTAGACTATGACACCATCATTAATGTTTTAGCCCATAAACATGGCGTTACACAAACATGTTCGGAATAGTAAAATTCATTCTGGAATAGATGTTGGTTGATGAGATATCATATTCGTAATCTCAGACCATACATTTAAGACTGGATTTTTTTTTTTGGGATACAGTCTGAAATTTACGGAATAAGATGATTCCATTATCATTGTTGCTCCCATTTGAAAAAAAAAATCTACATATGTACACAACATAAAGCTTTCTATTACTGAAAAACGAGCTCATATGATTAGTAAATGTACATGTTCGTAGTAGAGTGAAATAAGAGCAAATCGGCATATTTATGCAGTACATTGTTCTAGACTATAAATGTTAAGTTGTAGATTTAACCAATGACATTAATGTTTTTGGATTGATTACGTTGGTTGCTTTGAAATCCAAGTTACATATTAATAAGATAATTTCAATCTTCTAGATCAAACACAGTTTTATAGATTGTTGATGATAGTAATGTTAGATATTTTTTACTTTTGTTAATAGTATGTTTCCTAACACATCACAATTCTTTGTTGTTAATCATGTTTTGGAAAGCGACGTTAATATGTAATTTATTACCTATGACATTGAATCGTGCTTCTTCTTACAATGGGCATGTAGATGGGGGTGATGTTAGGTATAAAGGTAAGGTCATTGTCGATGTTGGTCTAGTATTTAAGGGAGATGAATCAGTAATGAACCAGGAAAAATTGATGATGTTGGTTGATGATAGTAATATACTTCCACACATAAACCAGAAGGAAAAACTTCATTGTTTCTTTGAATACGATGATGATGAGATTGGCTATGATGAGGAGGAAACTAATTACTGATAATTCCATAAGGAAAAGTACCGTTACTATTTTCCAGATTCTAATGAACAAAAACTACTTATCAACAATGCTTGGTCCCTTACCATTGACCTAATTTTCAAACTCAAAAGCATAAAACTTTTATAGTACGTGATCCCTCTTTGCATGTCAAGTTTTTACAACTGTTCAAAAGTAAATAAGAGCTTAAGCTAGCATGGGGAATTAAATGTTTTAATGAGAGGTTTCAAATTAAAGTCAGTAAATTTACAACACACGTGTTTGAAGCAATTTTCTTTGTTAAAAATGCAAATGGATGTTAAGGGAAAAAATATTAGATTACAAATACACTTCAGATAGAAATTAACCCGTTTTGGTTTATTGCAGATAGATGTGATACTAATGGTTGGCATTGGAATTGGAGAAATGAGCCACATGGTAGAACTCATTCAATTGAATTTCCCAGATCATGTGATATGCTCCTTAATTTCCAATTAGG